TAGTACATCCATACACTGTGTGGCCATTAAATAGTTTCTTTTAACTCAGCAAGATAAACAAAGAAATCAGGATGTGAAACCGTAACACCAATTATTAAGAAAAATTACAGAGAAGGACAAATATCATAGGATTTCATTTATATGTAGAATATAAAAAAGAAAACAAACGAACAAACAAAGTGTCTTAAATACTAAGAATTGGTGGTTGTCAGAGGGGAGGTGGGTGGATGAAATAGATAAAGGGATTAAGAGGTACAAACTTCATTATAAAATAATCAAATCGTGAAGATGAAAAGTATAGCATAGGGAATATAGTATATAATATTGTAATAACGTTGTGTGATGACAGATGGTGACTATACATATTGTGGTGAACAGTGAATAATGTACAGAATTGTTGACTCAATGCTGTATTCCTGAAACTAATATATCATTGTATATTAATTATACTTCAGCAATAAAAAATATGTGCGTAAGAAAGAACTAGTGCTAAATTCATTAAAATATAAACAGCAGTTATTTCTAGGCTGTATATTGCAATAAATTTGCATTGCTTTGACAAACAAAAAAAAGATAAATTTTCCAAAACATTTAATATTAGCACTTTCCTAACACAGATTCACTGTTTCTCAGTTTATATGTCTTAGAAGAAATTTGTACCAGAAGAAAAGTTTATGGTTCCTTAACTAATGTGTTAAATAGGATAGATGCAAGTTTTCAGGATATTTAATTCTAAAAAGCATTTTTGCCTTTCAAGTGTTTTTCCACCCCTTAGGAAACCAAGACTTTACATTTATACTTATTGTATAATAATTGTGGCTATGGTTTCTATTTTCTCCCATCTGAGGTTTAAGACCTTTGCCTTTAAAGGAGAACACTTGTGGTCCTATACTTGTAGAATATTTTAGTAAACTCCTCCATTTTGATATAATTGGTTAAAAGAAGAAATGGATGAACTTCTGTTCTAGTTTAGGTGCTATTAGCCACTAGCAATGTGCTATTTAGCAAGTCATGTCTCCGTTTCTTCATTTGTAAAATGGTGTCAAATAGACTACCAAATATGGCTGGTGTAAAGATCAAACAAACTTATACATAGTAGTACTTTGCAAGTGGTAAGTAAATGTTAGTGATCAATTTGAATAGTCTTTCTAGACATTTCTAAATTTCATTTAAAAATAATTGAGCTATCAATACTAAATTCTGACTGTTATAAAATGCCATGTAAAGTCCTAAGAATTTTTTAAAAATGTTTTATTTATTTCTGAGAGAGACAGCGTGAGCAGAGGAGGGTAAGAGAGAGAAGGAGACACAGAATCTGAAATAGGCTCCAGGCTCTGAGCTAGTGGGCAGCACAGAGCTGGATGCGGGGCTCAAACCCACGAACCGTGAGATCATGACCTGAGCCGAAGTTGGACGCCCAAATACGGAGCCACCCGTATGTCTTAAGACTTTTTAACAATATAAACATAAGAAAGAAAATCTTAAATTAATGACCAACTTTTTAAAAATCAGTCAGCATTGCGAATTATTCCCTTGGTAATGCATTTCTAAGATTTGGGCATTAGGGGGCGCCAAAAGAATTATTTAGCTAGTCTGCCATTTCCCTCGCTCTGCTTATTTGGCAGCAATCAACATTTATAATGTCTACCAAAGTGCTTTGAAAATATAAAACGCAGTTCCAAGTCTTATATTATAATACAGATGGATGGTATTAACAATCCTATGATTATAATTAAGTGCTCTGAAAAGAAAAATTTCAATCCAGGGTATAAGCTACCTACAATAGGGAGACATCTTGAGGTTAATGGGGACCATTATGGAGTATTATGACAATTGCAATAGATTCACTTTGCTTACTATGGAAGTCTATTTGGCCAGGATTTTATTGACTGACATATGTAAATGGATAGAAAATTAAACTAATAATATTAAGAGCAGGGATAGATCTAAAGATAAATAATAGGTCAGCTAGATCACACTGAGGAGAATTAAATAATCCCATGTTTAAGTATTTTAACTTTCTGATTGACTTGTATATAGTAGGTAATCAACATTTATTGATATGATTTGATTTGTATCTCTCTTAGGAGGATATATTTCATCAGAGTGGCTTACAGAGTTTAATGTAACTCTTTTTTTTTTTTAAAGTGTAGTTAATTCAAAGTTTGTATCTCTTAATTCCCTTAACATATTTCACCCACCCCTCTGGCAACCACCAATTTGCTTTTTGTTTTCATAAGTATGTCTCTTTTCTTGTTGTTGATTTATTAGATTCCACACATAGGTAAAATCATATGGTATTTCTCTTTCTCTGTCTGACTTCACTTAGCTTAATCCTCTGGAAGTACATCCATGTGGTCGTGAATGGTAAGATTTTGTTCTTTTTTATGGCTAATATTCTATTTTTCTTTACCACATATTCTGTATCTATGGACACTTAGGTTGTTCCCATATCTTGGCTATTGTAAATAATCCTACAATAAATATAGAATTGCATATGTATTTTTGGTTTTCTACGGGGCATTCATCCAGAAGTGAAATTACATAAGAAATACTCTTATGGTATTTCTAATTTTTTTGAGGAACCTCTATACTGTTTTCCATAGTGGCTTCACCAATTTACATTTCCACTAACAGTGCAGAGGGTTTCCTTTTTATTTATTGACTTTGTGATACTGGCCTTCTGACTAATGTGAGGTTATATTACATTGTGGCCTTGATTTGCATTTTCCTGATGATTAGTGATTTTGAGTGTCTTTCTATGTGTCTGTTGCCTGTCTGCATGTCTTTTATGGGAAAATGTCTATTCATGTCCTCTGCCTATTTTTAAAATCAGATTATTTGTTTTTTAGTGTTGAGTTGTATGGGTTTATGTATTTTTGAATATTACCCCTTATCAACATTTTATTTGCAAATACCTTCTCACATTCAGTAGGCTGCCTTTTTGTTTTCTTGATGTTTTCTCTCATTGTGCAAAAGTTTTAGTCTGATGTAGTCCCAATAGTTTATTTTTTTGCTTTTGTTTCCCTTTCCTGGTAGACAGATCCAGAAAACTATAGCTAAAGCTGATGTCCAAGAGATTTCTGCCAAAGTTTTCTTTTAGGATTTTAATGGTTTCAAGTCTTATATTTAGGTCTTTAATCCATTTTGGGTTTTTCTTCCTTTTCAGATTTTTATTTAAATTCTAGTTAGTTAACATATTGTGTAATATTGGTTTCAGGTATAGAATTTAGTGACTCATCACTTACACATAACACCTCATGCTCCTCATAACAAGTGTCCTCCTTAATACCAATCACCCATTTAGCCCATTCCCCACCCACTTCCCTCCATCCACCCTTAGTTTGTCTCTATTGTTAAGAGTCTCTTATGGTTTCTTTCCCTCTCTCTCTTTTTTCCCCTTCTCATGTGTTCATCTGTTTTGTTTCTTAAATTCCACATATGAGTGAAATCATATGGTATTTGTCTTTCTCTGATTGAATTATTTCACTTAGCATAATACACTCTAGTTCCATTCTTTTTATTGCGAATGGCAAGATTTCATTCTTTTTGATGACTGAGTAATATTCTATTGTATGTATATGTGTGTATGTATAAATATATATGTATATTACATCTTTTTTTAATTTACTTATGTCTTTTTTAATTTACATCCAAGTTAGTTAGCATATAGTGCTATATTTACTTCAGTAAATTCCAGTGATTCATCCCTTATGTATAACACCCAGTGCTCATCCCAACAGTGTCCTCCTTAATGCCCCTCACCTATGTAGCCCATCCCCCCATCCAACCTGCAACCCTCAGTTTGTTCTCTGTATTTAAGAGTCTTTTATGGGGGCTCCTGGGTGGCTTAGTCATTGAGCGTCCGACTTTCGCTTAGGTCATGATCTCGCGGTTTGTGGGTTCGGGCCCCGCGTCGGGCCTGTGCTGATTGTCAGCTCAGAGCCTGGAGCCTCTTTCGTAGTCTGTGTCTCCCTCTCTCTCTGACCCTCCCCTGCTCACGCTATCTCTCTCTCTCCTAGAAATAAATAAAAATATTTTAAAAAAAAAGAGTCTCTTATGGTTTGTCTCCCTCTCTGTTTTTGTGTTGTTTTTGCTTCCCTCCCCTTATGTTCATCTGTTTTGTATCTTAAATTCCTCATATGAGTGAAGTCATATGATATTTGTCTTTCTCTGACTAATTTCACCTAGCATAATACCCTCTAGTTCCATCCATGTTGTTGCAAATGGCAAGATTTCATTCTTTTTGATTGCTGAGTAATACTCCATTGTATATATACCACATCTTCTTTATCCATTCATCCACCGATGGACATTTGGGCTCTTTCCATACTCTGACTATTGTCGATAGCACTGCTATAAACATTGGGGTACATGTGCCTCTTTGAAACAGCATACCTGTATCCCTTGGATAAATACCTAGTAGTGCAATTGCAGGGTAGTTCTATTTTAAACTTTTTGAGGAAACTCCATACTGTTTTCCAGAGGGGCTACACCAGTTTGCATTCCCACCAACCATCAACAGCGTAAGAAGTTTGTTTTTGTTGTTGTTGTTTGAGTTTAACATAATTCTTAATAATGTTTCAAAATAGGGTCTCAGATAATCATATATACGTAGATATATATGATATATATATCACAATCACCCACGCTGCTTATAAGAAATGTTGACTCTTGAGTACCACCTACCCCTAGTACCTTAGACCTGTGAACACAGAACGTCTGGGAGCAGGGACAATGGATATTCATACTAGGTGGTTTTAATTGGCTTTTATGTCCAAAAATGTTTGAGAACCATTACCTAAATTATAGTCAACCATTACCTAAACTATAATCAACCTGAACAAAATCAAAGCAAAATGACAATTTAAATGTCACCACCTGCCATATGATAGTTTTGTCAATTTTGATACAAGTCAAGAAGGAAAAGTATAAATATATTTAAAAGCGACAGAGGTCAAAAGAAAAGCCTAAGAGATTAAATATATAAATACACTCACCTGTTTCAGTTGTTTTATGAAAAAAGGGTGAACTCCATGGCTGCCAGTACCTTTTACCTGTTTCTTGGCATCTCACTTGAAATACATACATAGTGTTTGGTTCCAAGTAGAATTCTGACTGTTGCTCATATGTAAAATTGGTGTCAAATTCTTTAACCTAAAATGAATAAATAACAACAATGAAACAATACAGTGTGCTTTTAAAACAAATAATTATTCTGTTGAGGCAGAAATGTATGCAGCACCTGTTATGTTCCAGGCACTCTTCTAGGACCTGGGAAAACAAAGAATACAAAAGGGCACTTTGTATAAAACATGACCATAAATAATCAAATACATGTTATTTAACACTAAAAGTGAAATAAATGTTGCTTTGTATTTGACAATGCTCTCAAGCTGTTAAATGTCATGTTAAGTCCAAAATGTAATATTTTCTCAATTTTGGAGTAGCTGGATTTAATGGAATGGAAGAAGTGGGGGATTTAATAACAATTGTTTGAATTCCTACCTTCTTCCCCCCATCTCTCTCTCTCTCTCTCTCTCTCTTCAACTGGATATTTAGATCAGTAATTCATGAATGATGAAATAATTTCACTTGCTAATGATGACTTTTGGAAAAAACTTCTCATAAACTAATCTATTAAATTGGTCCTTATTTTAGATTTTTGCCGATTCTATAAAGCCTATGATATGTATGTCTGTGTGTGAGAGAAAATAGAACATTTAAGAATACTGAGCTGTGGAAATCCAATCGAAGGTAAGCATTCACATAGCTGAAGTCTAAACTTACAAATCATTTTCTGGAGCGCTATGACCTGCTATAAAACATAATGAAAAGTAACCCCCTAACAAGCTGGTTCGGCAGGGAGAGAGAAACCAAGGTATTTACGTACCATCAGTATGTTGTGATAAGTGAATAACTGAAAAAAGTGAAGCATGATTGAAAGGTAACCATAAAATATGTCTAGAAATGCATTTAGGCAACAACTAGGAGGAAAGAGTTACCAAACACTCATAAAAGAGGAAGTTGAAACTGTCAAGATTTAAAAGAAAGAAAGAAAGAAAGAAAGAACGAACAAACGAAAGAAACAAAGAAAGGAAGAAAGAAAAAAAGCAAGCTACCAACCTTCCTGAGAGATTCTTCTGTGAAAACCCAATCTTAACATAAATGTTTAAAACCTTCAGTGTAGTAAAAATGTAAAATTCATGAAAATATTTTTTTGCAGGCTGTCATGCTTCATATAAAGTATCATTCAGAGTTTCCATAAGCTGTGTCTCTACTCTTGGCCCTTGGAATTTCCTGCTGTGTAAATATGACTGGCGGGCATTTGGGGGTCTCCTGGGATCCAGGAAAGATTTTACTTGTAGCAAAAGTTTGACTTTGAAATGCACTCTGCTTCTATTTGCTTTTCTTGGAAGGGAGTTGTTATTTTCTGGCATGTCTCTTGCCATTACATTTATAGATAAATCCCTGTAAAGAAGAGAAATACACTAAAGCACAGCCAGAATTCTAAAATGGAAGAATTTTACAGAACTGTTAACAGACTTGTTTCTGCCATCAGGCAAGCCAGGTGACTGCTTCGGGTCTTGTAAGCACAGGATGATGCCTCAAGGTATTTTCATAGGCTAAAATAAACACTGAGAAAGGTAAACCTTTTTTCCATGTCTATGTAGACGGTTTGAATTCAAGTGCAAGAAATATGACTTTTTTTATAGCAGTTAATTTATATTTAGCACCTCGATTCTGAAAGTGGGGGCCATACAAACTTGATCTCTATAAATGTAAGGTACCTCTTATGGTTACATTAAATTTCTGGAAGCATTTTTCCAACCTATTCAGTTCTCTACTCTCCACTCCCTCCAACTCCCTACCCGGGACAAGGGCATGGTGAAGGGCCCTTCTCAGTAACCTATCACTGTCTAAACTCTTTTGGTTCCTTTTCCTAACTCCCTCCATCCCTCCAACTTCCTCATCTTGCTGCCCAGTTAGTCTTTACCTAGTGTTTGGTGAGAGAGGAAGTGGGGTGATGATTGAGAAACTTATCACATGTTCTTATTACATGTGGTGACTAATCACATGTTCTTCTAAGTCTTCCATCTTATAGCAGCATTTACACTTTTTTTTTTTTTTTTTTAGAAATGTTTATTTATGGGGCGCCTGGGTGGCTCAGTCAGTTAAGCGTCAGGTCATGATCTCACAGTCTGTGGGTTGGAGCCCCACATCCTCTGCGTCGGGCTCTGTGCTGACAGCTCAGAGCCTGGAGCCTACTTGAAATTCTGTTTCCCTCTCTCTCTGCCCCTCCCCCACTCACTCGCTGTCTCTGTTTCTCAAAATAAAATAAAAGACATAAAAAAATTTTAAAAAATGTTTATTTATTTTGAGAGAGAAAGAGAAAGAGAGAGAGCATGCACCCAAGGGTATATGTGAGCAAGGGAGGGGCAGAGAGAGAGGGAGAGAGAATCCCAAACAGGCTCTATACTGTAGATGCAGAGCTTGATGTGGGGCTCAAACTCACAACTATGAGATCATAACCTGAGCTGAAATTAAAAGAGTCCCATCCATGCTCAACCCTCTGAGCCATCCAGGCACCCCATATTTACACTTTTGAAATGCAAGGTCAAGGGTTTGACCCTTAGCTATCTGTGTACTGTTCTATTAGCCTTCCCTGGAAAAGAATGAATGTTTGGTTTTATGTGCTCCATGAGCTAAGACTGGTTTTGCATTTTTAAATGGTTGTAAGAAAATCCAAAGAATATTTTGTTATGCATAGAAATTACATGAAATTCAAATTTCAGTGTCCAAAATTAAAGTTTTATCATGCCCATTCATTTGTATGTTTTCTATACAATATACACTACACACTACACTTTCACGCTACAAATGCAAAGGTGAGTAGTTGGGTCAGAGACCTTATAACCTGCAAAGCCTAAAATGTTTACTATTTGGCCCTTGAATAAAAGTTTGCCACTTTCCATGCTGATAGTGCTCTTGCAAGCATGGTGAATATTTCTGACACCCACTGAATTTTCTGTAAGAAGCATAGCAAGCAACCAACCCCACAAAGTGACATAGTACAAGAAGGGCAAGAATTCTCTGATGACCAAGGAAAGCGGTGTTATGACAGGAAGTAGAGTGGCTATGCTATGGTGGGCAGATAGAGCTGATTTTTTGGAAAAATGTTAAAAACTACAAAGAAGATTGTGCTGAGACTTGAATGTGTTGAGCCCAACAGCAGATCTAAGACAATTATGGCTATCAAGAGATGCAGTCATTTTTAACTGGGAGGAGATAATAAGAGAAAAGGCCAAGTAATCCAGTCCTAAGTTTCACAGTTTGTTTTATTATGAAAACAATAAAATCTTGAGATTATGTTTAAAAAAAAAGCCTTAGTCTAGCTTAATTAGAGAAACAAATCACTATTAATCCATTTACTTGAACTTACAGCAAAGACTTCCCTGCTTTACTGTCACTATTGTTGAGCACCTATTAAAGGCAAACAATAATATTAATAGCTAATGTTTCAAAATGTTATCTACATGAACTACACATTATAAAAATCAATGGAGGTATAAAAAATTATTATGAAATATCCTGCCTTCCAGGGGCTTACAGTTAAAGGATAGGAAAACAGAGGTATAAACAGGTAAACTGTTATACAACATGGTAATACTCCTGAGATGGAGTACACAGAAGTGGGCAAGGATTGTTGCTGAAGATTGGGAGCTCAGTTTTTAACACAAGTTTAAGGTGCCAAGGAGATAGTCCATGAAGATAACCAAAGAGTAGATAAATATTCTCCACATGGTATTGGCCTTGTAGGATCCCCTGAAGGACTGGCTCGTTCCCTTTGATACTTCATAGTCTATGCAGCTTAGTTAAAAGGGGATGAAAAGCAATCTCAATTCACTAATTTTGATTTTTCAGGGGATCTTCTTTTGCTCTACCAAACTTGTTGCATGGCCTTCCCAGAAGTTAAGATGAAGAGTAACAACACCCAGTATTTATTGAACTTGAACTCTATTCCAGGCTTTGGAATAGATCTATTCCAGATCTAACTTCTTACAGATCATCCTCACAACCATATGAGGTAGGTGCTTGTCTTATTCCTACTTTAGGTATGGGAATAATGAAGCACAGAAAAGATAAGCAACTTGCCCAAAGTTGCATAACTAAAAAGTGGCAGAACCAGGTTTTGAATTCTAGAACCTGTGCTCTTAGTTACATGGCTTTCCTGCATAGCTGCCTGTCACTTTCAAATAAAGAACCTCCTTCAAGTAATACCTCCGGGAGGCAGAGGTGAGGTGGAAGATCAAATCTGTAGTCTTTTGTATCTCCTCCGCTTCTTGCCTCTGATTTCCTATCTCCCTACAAAGAGGCAAAGAGAACACTTTATGTATGACCCAGATGAAATTGTTGAGGTAGCAAATGTTGAAAATGAAAGCTTTATTCTGGTTCTTACAGACTGGACTTGGGTCATCTGGATAGAAATGGTAATTCACCTTTTTATGTGTAAGTGGTTATATTTAGAGGGAGCATGGTAGAAGGGATAGGATATATGCTTTGGACTGAAGGCTGTTCTTTCATTTTTCAAATATTTTTTGGGTGCCCAAAGTGATATAGGATCTATAAGAAGCATTTAGTTACTAGCACTGTAAGTTTGAAAGACTTGGCTTGAGGTCTTTTGAATTCTATGTCCTCATTTCTATAACGGAGCTGATATTTACCTATTCCAGAGGATGGTTATGAAGGTTAGATAACAAGTATTCTTTCAGCTCCTTCATTTGCCTGCTTGTGAGTTACCAAGTCTCACAATGGCATTGTAGCACCAGCAGGGGGAGCAGAGAACAAGAATTTCAACCAGAAAACACTTGGTTTCTGAAAATCTATTCAGAGATACTGATGGTATAATTACTTTCTATTTTCTAAACATTCTTCTAGCCCATAATCTCTGCCAATTATGCCAAATAAAGGAGTTTTATGTTATCGATTTCATCTTATGACCAACCAGGACACTAAACAGAGGGCACCAGGTGTCCTATTGGAATAAAATTCTATTGACTCAAAATCTAAGACTAAGAGAATTTCATTTGGGTTTTCAAATTCACCTAAATTCCACATTTGCAAAAGGATTGACTGTGGAGTTGTGTTTTGTTTGTATCCTGCTTGTCCTGGGCTTTAAACATAGGGTTGCTATGCACACAAATGTCAAAATTATTTAGTCAACAAGTCCAGCAGGATCTTCACGTGGTAATTGACCAAATGATGCACAGATTCACATCTAAGTGCAATCTGAACATCTGTAAAGTTCACATCATATTTCTTATTTAAACAAACAGGAGTAAGTAAACAGGTTGATGTCTGGATTTATTTTTAGAGAACAATCTTTAAAGTACATCATAAAATCAGTATAGTTTTACCCTCATATTCTTGACACTCTTTAAACACATTGTTCTACAGCAAAACTGATGTTCAGGATGATGAAGCAATAAAAGGCTTTGGAGTCATGCTAATCACCAAATACATATCACTTACTCCCTGACAGCAGATAAATTCATACATGATATATAACTCTGAATTAAGCAAATCCAGAGACTCTACTCCCTAATTATTTTGACTAAGTGGCAATTTATTGTACTGAAAATATGAAATGGCATTTCTTTTCAAATACACCAAAATTGGAATTTTATCCTCAGTCATACTAGTGTTCTCCCATAGTTCAAATTACTGAGTTTTTATTATGTTCACAGGAGCTGTCATGTCATGCGATTTCATTAATGAACCTTGTACCTACGCCTCTCCTAAGTCAGTTGGTAACTTACCATTGGTATTTAAGGATGGTTAGTTTTTTCAGATTTTCACTTTTTACCTTGGGCTCATATAAGGCTAAGGTCTCTTGTAGTAAAATCTTATATTTTGAATTGCATTTTTTCATTTAAAAAGAGACACCCATAAATCTGAAGTTCTTCTTATTGAACAGTTATTACCCTAGATGCTTATTAAATTTCAGCATAGAAACCTTACATTTTATATTCACCATCACTGATATAAATTTTACCCTAGGAGGCACTGAATTGCAAGGAGCCAAACAGATGGATCTCTCTTAGTTGGACATTATTTAGCAACTTATAAAAGGTAAGAGCACATTTTCAGAAAACATCTCTCCATTTGGAAGCATATGGTAACAAATATTAAAACTAGAGTGGTTTGAGGGGTGCCAGAATGGCTCAGTGGGTAGAGCACATGATTCTTGATCTTTGGGCTGTGAGTTCAAGCCCTGTGTTGAGCGTAGGGATTACTTTTTAAAAAAACCAACAAATTAGAGTGGTTTGAGTATCAAACAGATAAAAATGTGTAAAATAGATTATCATTAAGTCAATTGTGGGTTAGCTTTTCTTTCATTCGCTTACATGCTAAAGCATAGTGAAAGCTAGCTTACCTTCCAAGTTTGGTTTGTTGTAGACTTGTATCTCATTTCACAGGAAACTTTTTCTATTGTTGTTTGACTATTCCAGTGAATCACAGTCTTGGGTTCTGTTGTATTTATGTCCTCAGCCCTGGAAATGATGGATCCAGAAGGTATCACTAGAAATAATAATAAATAAAAACCCAGCAGTTTAAAACTTGCCTAGGGAGAAATTAGTATCTTTATATCAATATATAGACATGTTAAAAGTCAAAGTACTGAAAAACAATTTCATGATCCAATTAATAATTAATGATTTTTTTTCTTGTTTTCTAACTGATTATGTAAGAGAAAACTGCTGCTGTTAAGCAAAATTCTATTCAACCTGTTTTCTATTTCTTTTAAATGGGACTCTTATAGTTCACCTTTCCTATTCCCTATTCCCTTATAATCCTAACTAATGAAATTCCAAAGCCTGGCCTTATTAACAAAAAGCAAAGAAAAGAGATAAAGGAGATATCTCTTTCTTCCTGCATCCATTTAGGGGAAAATGAGGTTTTGCATTTTAAATTTTGTTCAGGGAAATCTGATAGGGTATTGATTGAGACTTTTCACAGTAATATTTTTATTCTCTTGTATCATAGGGAAACATGAATAATGAAATCTTTTGCTAACTTATTTTATTTTAACTGTATTAAAATAAATCCATACTTGAAAGTATGATTTGAACAAAGCAAGTCTCACAAGACTCTAAGACTTTACCAATTATTCTCATGCTCTGTGATAATAACTTTCAAAAGGAAACTGACATTCTGATGGGTTATCTTACTCGTTGTTTTGTTGTACTAGGAGTAGTGGTGTAACTGGAATCTCTGTATTTCTAAACTGTTTCAATTCTTGTGTGCTTGCTCTGTCTGAACAGAGTAAAATCTTTGGTACTTCCCATTTCTCCTATATATATACACAACAGAACAATGAAAACCTACGACTTTGTTAGACAAGTTATTTAACAAAGAACTGAAGAGGCTTGTATGTGTGTTTTTAAGGACCATTATTATAGCTTAATACTCTCTATGGTTAGTTTCCTTTTCATTTATTCTAGGTGTATAAAGTGTTCTTTGGGAATATTATTGTTTTATTATTAATCACTTATCTAAAATTATATACTCAAGTATATGATTTATAGAGAAATATACAAATTAAAGATTTAATGTTTAGTAGCACAGTCCTACAATAAAATCCTTGGGCTAATGGTAGCATAAGAAAGAAGTAGTAGCAAAATGAGTCTAGTTAAAGATTTTACTGTACTGAACTTTTGTCATCTGAATTCCACAGTTGATTTCCTTTTGCTAGTGTAAGCTTCTTGTAATAAGTATAAGTATTCACAGACTTCTGTAGTAAGGGAAATGATTCCCAGGGCTCTGAGATCACTTGGGATCATTTAAAGCACTCTCAGGCTAAATAACCCGCTCACTCTTATCTCCCATCCCTGAGTTTGGCCTGCCATTAGTAACACAAGCATTCTGAGACCCTTCTGCAGAAAGAAATACTCTGGGGAGGAAGAAGTCTTTAGTCCTATGAGAAATGAAAATAGAACAGTAAGTCAGAGTTAAGATAGAGTCTTAGGGATGAAAGAGCATAAGACAAGCTGAGGGCAAAGCACAGGCTAACAATAACCCTCCTCCTCCCCCCAAGGTGAGATAGGTATGATATTCCTCAGGCACTCCTGGCTGCCTAAGAACAAAGGAAAGGAGAGAAAACAAATGGTTAAATTGGCAGTCTTCATCAGTTTACAAATATCTTAGTAAATTACAAAAAGGCAATCTTATCAACAGTGTACTCTCCAGGAATTTTCTACCATTTTAATGATAATGCTTTGGTAGAGGGAAAAATAAATTTAGCTCCACAATAGCTAGGCCTCCAGTAATCTGAGTCCTTAGCATATGAAAATCCCTTTAAGAAACTTCCTGACTTTATCTTCCCCAACTCCACGGTATATAAGCAGTCACTCTTCACAACCCCAGTGCAGCTTTTTTTACCCACGGGTCCTATCCCTGTGCTTTAATAAAACTCACCCTTTTGCACCAAAGATGTCCTCAAGGAGTTTTTTCTTAGCTGTGAGCTCTGAACCCCCAAGACCCCACTGCAAAACCCCATCATTAGCACCGGGCAAGTCAATGCAATAGAGAACTAAACCTTTAGGTTTGAATGACCTCATTTTTTTTTTCAAATAAATATGTTATATAATAAGTACTTGAATATGTACTTTGTTACATGACTCAAATGTTGAATGTTTTCTCTCATTGCTTAGGTTTCAAACATTCCCATCAGATCTTAACATTTTTTAAAAACTGTCAAATCCATCTAGATGCTATGTGTTTAGTTTCAACTTATATTGAAATAAAGAACCAGATTTGTAGTTTTTGGTATCTTTCTAGCAACATATATTTACCTATACAGGAATTAATTTTCAAAATGGTAATTTTATTTTCAAAAAGGTAAAAAATTTACCTATGTGAGAATTAATGTCAAAATGGCAGCCCAGCCAGGGAGTGCCAGGTGGCTCAGTTGGTTAAGTGTTCAGACTCTTGATTTTGGGGTCGAGCCCAGTGTGGCTCTGTGCTGACAGTGCAGAGCCTGCTTGGGATTCTCTCTCTCCCCCCTCTGCCCCTGCCCTACTCATATATGTTTTCTCCCTCTCTCTCTCTATGTGAAAATTGTTCTCAGGAGAGCCCTCTGTCCTCAGTTTCATAGAATGCTACATTTATCTAACTTGCAGTGCCTCATTCTTAAAGTGTCACAAATGAGTATCTTCCCTGGTAGATTGCAATCTTCCCTGGTAGATTGCAAGATACTTAGGGAAGTAGATACCTTGCTTATCTTATTCTCCCTAGCTCTTAAAATAATGCTTGAATAGAAGACATTTTCAATAAATATGTGTAAAACCACATGTACCCATGTAGAAATAAGATTGGAAGGATATACAACAAAATGGTAGCAGTACTTATCTTTGTATTTCCTTGGGTTGGTTGATTATGGGTAATTCTTGTTTTCCATATCATGATCTGCAGGAACTTCAGGGGAACACCTTTCAGAGCTGGACTTCATTTGACTAGGTCAGTACATATTAGCTGCTTATTCAAAAAGACATACTACTTCTCATTCTTTACCTATATCATCCAGATTAATTTGCAGTTGTTTTGACTTCTCTGTGCCCAATGCATTTGCAGCTTTGACCCAAACCAAATATTTCTTGCCACTTTTCAATGAATCAGTGGAGATGTTAATATAACTTGAAGAAAGATATTGTTGCTCTTCTTCTGTCTCTAAACTTAAAAAAAAAAAAATTATGATAACTGGTTATGTTGGTTTGAATTAGTTAGTCCTTAGTTTTTTGCTGCTACTTTTTTAGACTGCTTTCAGAATACATTTACTTAAAAATCAATCAAAATTTATTTCATTTTGAAAAATTAAAAAACATAGGTTTAAGACTACTCAGGGCCACACTATGACTTTCATGGGTATTAGGCCCTTTTGTCTTCATGGGCCCATTCTTCCATCAAGAGAAAAAAGTATATATGTGTGTGGATATGTGTATCTTTATAGACGTACATATGTATGTTCATGTAGATTATGTTTTAAAATTGTCAGTATAAAAGCAAATATATTAATATTACATATTAAAACATTTTCTTTGACCTAAGGTTTATTATTTTTCTTCTTATTTTAAATGAAATTAAATATTTTCATGGACTTCTGAAAGTATCATGAGCCCTGGGTACTATGCCTACTGGGCCTTTGGCATAAGTTGTCTCTGGACAGAGCTTGAAATAAATGAACATCCTCTAGGAAGGAACATTGCAAAGGAGATCAGTACCAGGGCTTTGAGTTAGACATTTCTACCAGATCTAGGATAAGGAGTAAGAATGGCATGAAGGGTCAGAATAGGATGAGAGAGCTGGATGGGGTAGGGAAAAACCAGACTTCCAGGGAGAAAGAAACCTCAGCATGTTCTAAAACAAATAAATGAAATGGTATGTCATTTTCCAGAAAGTTCAGCAAGTTCATACTCTGGAGCATGAACATGGAAGAAGTAACTTGAAATGGAGCAGGCAAGATCAGAAAGACTTCCTGTGGACTTTGAAAACAGAACTTACTGGATCTGATGGCCAATTATGTAATGGTAAAGGAAGCTATTTGCTGACAAAAGGGATGGAGAAGATAGATAGATAGAGGGTTTGGAGTGAGAGATAGAGTTGTTGTTTTTTTAAGTTTTACTTGAGAGAGAGAGAGAGAGCGCGCGCAAGTGTAAGCAGGGGAGAGGGCAGGGGGGAAGAGAGATAATCTTAAGCAGGCTCCATGCTCAGCATGAAGCCTGATGTGGGGCTCAACCTCACAACCCTGGAATCATGACCTGAGCCAAAATCAAGAGTTGGGTGCTCTTATCTATAGTCAGATCTATTCAAGAGTTGGGTGCTCAACTAACTGAGCCGCCCAGGTGCCCCAAGAGACAGAGCTTTTAAATCATCACTTCAAATTATGTTTATCTAAGTTTTTGAATGTGTGAGGATCTCTAATCAGCCAATTTAATAAAAAAGTTAAATTTCACTAAGGTGAAATTTAAAATGTTATTTGTTAAGGCTAAAATTCTAAATTTTATTAATTTTCATTGGCTTTGGTCAGCAAGTTTGAGCCTCTTTTTTATATCTGTTAAAACTTTCCAGGGCACTTAGCTGGTGCAGTTGGTAGAGCATGCAACTTATGATCTGGGGGTCATGAGTTGGAGCGCCATGTTGGACAGAGAGATTACTTAATCAATCAGTTTGTTAAAAATTTCTACTCCACTATATTTTTAGGGGATGGGGATTGGAGGTAATGGTGGGGGGAGTGCTGGGAAATGTTGCTTCCTTTCTTTTCTGGTTTCTGTGAGGAGAGATGGTCCTTAAACCTCCCTGGTTTGGTCTCATCCCTTGCTTGCTCACTCATCCCTCTTGAAGGTGAGCATAATTCTACTCATGAAGAACTGGCCATATGCACCTCAGTCCCTTCCTCTCTTCTATTTTCCCTTGCAGGTCAGAAGACCACACAAATGACCTTTTTTGGTCTTCTCCAATAAGCTGTAAGATTTAGAGGAGTTGGCCTCAATGTGGGGATGTGCAGCTGTCTAATACTGGCTGTGATTGAGGATAAGGGCAGTAAATCTGTTTGTTCTGGGAAGATTAATATTAGAAAGTTTACTGTTGCCACATACCAAAGCCATGCTCTCCATTAACAAGCTTCATCAGTAATAAATATTATACAATATTTTAAATGTTTAAAATTATTTAAATATTTAAATATATATTTTAAAATATTTAAACATAAGCATTATTATATTTCTATTTTCATCTGCTGGCTTTTTGGTTTCTCTCAGTTGGTTTAGAACTCATGAGGAAAATCTGCAGAGATTGACCCACTTCAGATACTTACACACCATTATCTATAGTCAGATCTATTCATAACATGAAAGTGTTTTCACTAGACTTTGCTAAGTTTACATTTCTTGAACTCATTGAACTACCAACTCTTTTTATTTCCTTTTCTTAAGCTTCTCAGTCATATTTTCTACATTCCTGGCAACTACATCCAACTTACCATTTCCACTTGTTCTTTAAGCTTTTTGTTGTGACTTCTGCCCTCACCTTTCCCGTGAAACTACTCTTCTTTTTTTTCTTTTTGATTTTTGAGAGAGAGAGAAAGTGCAAGTGTAAGTGGGAGGAGGCAAAGGGAGAGGGAGAGATAATCTCAAGAAGGCTCCATGCCTAGCACAGAGCCTGACCTGGGGCTCCATTTTTACTACCATGAGATCATGACCTAAGCCAAAATCAAGAGTTGGATGCAAACTGAGCCACACAGGCACCCTGAAGCTACTCTTCTAAAATGGCATCCTTTCCAAGGTGAAGTCCTGAATCCTCTTTGTAGCATTCGTCCCTCCTGATTACTTACAATTCTTACTTCCCTTGGCTACCTGGACTCCGTGTTCTGGGCAAGAGAGACTAAATCTTTTTCTCATGCCTGCTTAGTAATGTCTTTCCTTCTCCAACCCTCCACTTGAATTGCCCTCCTTAATCTTCTAAGTCAGATCTATTCAACCCCACCACAGCGAGGATCACCTCTTGTCCCTCTTGGTACTTGCCTTTTCCCTCAGTTTATTCACCTTCCTGGTTTCTATCACTATTTCACATGTACAGCTACTGAATATCTGCCCTCTCACAGGGAGATGATTTGGATATCTGCCTAAGACCAGAACTATAGCGTATTTATTTATTTATTTTAACATTTATTTATGTTATAGAGACAGAGTGCAAGCAGGGGAGGGGCCCAGAGAGAGGGAGACACAGAATCTGAAGCAGGTTCCAGGCTCTGAGCTGTCAGCACAGAGTCCAATGCGGGGCTTGAACCCACAAGTGAGATCATGACCTGAGCTGAAGTTGGATGCTCAAGAGACTGAGCCACCCAGGCGCCCCATCTACAGCATATTTATAACTGAATTATCTTTCCATGCATGTCAGGACTTTTTGCCAGTATCTCCATTGTTGTCAGCAGCATGCTGCCTTTCTGATGTCCTCAGTTTGCCATTTTAAACTACTTTTTCTCTGCTACCCTTCAACCAAAGAAGGTGAAGCATTTATTTAGCTATTATTTTCTTGTTTTAAATGTTATTTATTTTGAGAGAGAGAGTGTGTGCAAGCAGGAGAGGGCCAAGCGGGGGTGGCGGGGGACAGAGGATCCAAAGCAGGCTCCTTACTAACAGCAGAGAGCCCAATGTGGGGCTTGAACTCGCAAACCAAGGGATCATGACTTGAACCAAGGGATCATGCCTAACCAACTGAACCACCCAAGAGCCCCAATTTTCATATTTTATCTTTTGTTCCTGTTTTGATAGCTGTGGCCATGGTCTAGGCTTTATCTCTGTATTATGTTCGGTATATTACTTGTAGATCCCTACATTAACTTTATTGCATTGTGAAACATAACGATATAGATATACTAATTTAGAGGGGGAAAAAAAACCGTGGAATTGAACACAGGTGAAAAGACAAGTACCCTATATTCTTATATTTAACAAATAGAAATGCTTCACAAATTTGTATGTCGTCCTTGACTAAGGGTCATGTTTGTCATCTTCTTGCACTATTCTGATTATAGTACTTGTGTTGCTGAGGCATGCATTGCTTGGTTTCTTTGTCTAATACCATCAACATTTTTTTCTGTCCTGGGAGGCTGACTTGATAGGGTTTGTGGGGAAGGAAGAGTTTAAAACTCACAATCATTTCATTCTAGGCTGCTCTTCATGTCTTGTTACCACCATATGTCTATTTAGCAACTCCCAAATTTCTCCAGCCCCAAACTATCCCAGCCAGGGTTATAACTTGCCAGCCACAATGATCTGGTAGAATCCAGAGTGGCATTCTTGCTGAGACACAGAACTCCAGCAAGGAAAAGGGGAACTAGCCTCATGCTACCAAGCAATAAATACATTTATGAATCAGAATAATACAGAAATTATATAGTATCTCTATTTTAAACCTATTGTCACTTCTAGAGCAGGATAATCTCAGCACGCAGTCAAAGACTTTCTCTAAGGCTAACAGGGAAATGTGGGTAAGGGTGACGAGTCTCTATAGCATGCAGGTGGCACCAACTAAGTTCAACTCAGGTTTTTAACCCTCAGTGCATATTTTCTCATGCTGCCTCTTTTCCTCTCAGCAGCAGGGACATCACTATGAACACCATGAGAAGACAAAGACATGTCAATAGTGATGAATAGCAGAGGGCTTGGGTTTTAGAAAAGAACCTATAGGTTCAAATCTTGGCTCTGCCCCTTGATAAAATGTGGGACTTTTACTTAACCTCTGTGTATTTCAGTTTACTCATCTGTGCAACAGAAAGAATAACATTGTTGTTATCATGAGTAAACTCAGATAAGTGAGTTAATGAGACAAGGAAGCATGGAGCAGACGGCTTCACACATTATAAAGGGCTTATAAAGCAGACGATTATTATTATTAATTAAAAGGTATTTATGACATGACTTTTACACATTCTAAAGAGTACAAATGAAACTTTAAAAGTTGTTATATTTCAACAAGTGAAGTTTCTTTTATATTACTTGTGTTTGAAATTAAATCACTCCATTAAAAATTCAGATGTTTACATAGTTCCCTTATATTTCTTCTGAAATAAGGCAGAATGTAAATAAATTACAGAGAATTTCTTTTAAGGTATGCTAACCTCATGCTCGATAAGATTTCAAATGTAAAAATAAGAAAATGGCAACTATGGGTAAGT